AATTTGCCTCGTTTTGATCATTTTTTTGTTATTATTGTCAAGACGTCTGGAATCAATCGTTGATGAAACCAGTAGGATAGATAACACAGGTTATGATTTTTTTTAGGTGACAATAAATTTTTATATCCATGATATTTAGAAGGAAATGATGTGGTATTGACTGATTTTGTTGGCAAATGATATCTCAGGATTATAAGAATACTGAATTATACATATACTGTGGGCTAGTCCTTTTAAGAAAATAAAATTTTAAAAACTTTATTTTCCTTCAAAGAGAACTTTATAGAGCTCAAGTGGATGACCCTTGACAAACGTATCAGAAGGAGCTTTGATCTTTATGATTCACTGTGTGGTATCCTCTATTCACCTTGAACATCTGCAGCTACAAGTGTAGCTCATTCATCCATCTTGCATGACAGTTGCCTGACTTGGTTCCATCCCAGATGCACAACTTAACTGATAGATTAACCCCCTGTCGGATACAACTACCCCCTGGGGTAAAGACATGCCTCATAAATCAGTTGAAACTGTGGGACTCCACTTAGTAACACTTGGAGGTGGAATAAATTTGATGCCAACTTTTAGCTGTAACCAATGATAGCTGGAGATTCCCATGGCTGAGAATTTTTTCATACAATTGTTTTATAGAAATGTATGTAAAATTGTTATTTTGCTTTGTTTACATTATATTTATATTTTGTAACAAAAACCACTGGTAGTAGAGAGGATGCTGTTGACGTACATCTGCTTTTAAAAGCTTTTTTCTTTTTGTTACCGCATGTGTTTGTTGTGCTCAATGTGACAAGTTACTTGTAGGTTTAATTTTTTTCTTCCACCATGAGTCTGGGATAGTGGAGGTCTTCTTAAAACAATATAGGTGTTTTATCAAAGTACCGGTAATGGTTTATCTGAAAAGTGTTTATTAAACAAGAGAGACTATCTCTGGTAAGGGCCGCTACATCTTGAAAATTTTCCCAAAATTTTGTGTAAACTACCTTAGAATTGTCAAGTTACCCTTGGTGGTGAGAGGAAGGTGTAAATTTGTGCTCCAAGATGTGATTACTTGTAATCAATTGTTTTTGAATGACTTTCCTTGAATAACAATAATAAATTTTGACCCAACATGGTTTACATATAGTATTAGCACATCTATTTCCTTCCTATCCTTCCTTAGCATTTAAACATGCAACAGTGTATATGGTAGGTATAGCGTATTTAAGCAAGACTGAGCCACTAGATATAATATATTACAATGCCTGTATAATTATATTCTAGGAATTGGTCAATGAGAGTTCTATGGGTCCCCATCTGAATTGTCTCCTTTTGAAGGAAGATGGCCCAAGGCATTAAAGCATTTTTGTGTCACTTGGTTTGAAATCAGTTTTCATCTTTGGCCTACCCTCTTCTCTAAGCAGTTCTTATTTTCATTGTTGCCGTAATTTGACTTCCCAGGAAGTTCTAGGATATTTGCAGCTGTTAACTGAAATAGCAATTCTTTGTGATGATATTAATTTATTGCTCAGTAAAATAAGACTTTGTTTAACTGCATTCAGTTGTGTTATTTTTTAGCACAAGTATGTTGTTTGATATCATTTTCCCTCACATATTTCCATACCTGCACTTGATTTTCAAGTAGCACTAAATATTTACCTTGGTTATGCGGCCTCTGTAAGATATTTGTTGTAGTTAATTTTTTATCTCAGGTAGATTTTATTTTTCTTTTGTTTCAATGCCATTAGCATACATTAACATACCCAAAAACAAAGTAAAAGAAAAATTACCTGAGATAAAAAATTAACTACAACATATTCCCTTGTGCCACGCATGACTAGAGTATCAGTGACAGCTACATCTTTCTCTTCACTGTCTTGAAATAATGTGCTCTCAGGGCTGTCACTGCTTGTTGAGTCAGAGGAAGGGCTTCGCGTGGAGCTACCATGAGCATTAACCCTGGCTACTTTCATAGGGAAAGAAAAGGAAAATGGAGCCAAATGAACCGCCTGGCTGTTCAATTATTTTCTACATACTATAAATTTCGTACACCCTGCAACTTCAGATCTTAGTGTCGGCCCTGACTCTAGAACTCTTACACGTAACCACCGCCTGGTTATCTCAGTTGTAAGAGTGTTGGCCTGCTGAGTGGGAGGTCATGGGTTCAAACCTCGGCTGGACCAACACTCAGGGTCTTTAAATAATTGAGAAGAAACTTAGTGCTGCCTTTGTAATGACATCTGCAAATGGATAGACTTTCTAGTCTTCCTAGACTAGGACAAAAACACCCAGGTCCTGTCTCAGAGCACTTTCACTTATCTGGATATTGTGGGACGTAAAAGAACCCACACCACTGTTTGAAAGGAGTGGGGGACGTAGACCCCAGTGGTGTGGTTAACCGTTCCTGGGATGAGTGGGTTATGTGTAAGGAGAGATCTTAATATATAGCTGTAGGGTTAGTCTCATGATCCTCCTTCAGGAGTCGTAATGGCTACCTGTAAAAAAAACAGTTTATGTATTTAAAAGAAGCCAGCTAATGATACTTTTGTATTTACTTTTTGAAGGTTCAAGTGCCCATGCAAGTGGTTTAGTATCACCTACGGAACCCAAGCTGTTTCCTCATGCTGCTGTACTCATGACATCCAGTGGACACCCTGTTTTGGTACCACAGCCATTAGTTCAAGGAGAAAGAGGAGTCAATATCCCATCACCTTACCTAGCACAAGCTAGTGTTTTCTACACTCCACACTTCTTTCCGGCTCAACATTTTGCAGCACAACGTGCAACATTGCAGCAGTATGCTCAGGTTTCTCCACTGTTACAATTACATGCAAACTCTGCATCTTTACCGAGAGAAATGCACACATTACATAATGGACCTGGAGATTTGCACAGTGTGTCTCCTGATGCAAATGGCAAGGAAGGAGTGGTCATGAACCAATGTTCAGTGCAAGAGTCTGTCATAGTTAGTAACCCATCGGCTAAAAATCGCAGGCAATCTTATGCAGATCTTGACTCAGTTTCTTCCCCGTCCCCTATTGCTATGCCAGCACTTTCCCCATTAACAGCAAAGACGCCCTCAAGCCCTGGAACCCCTCAGCAAGCTGCATCTTCACCCGATGAAGTGGAAATTTGTGTGATTTGTTCTGATAAGGCTACAGGGCATCATTATGGAGTCACAAGTTGCGAAGGCTGTAAAGGATTTTTCAAAAGAAGTGTTCAAAATAAGAAAGTTTATTCTTGTCGCAATTTGACTCAAGACTGTCCAGTCGACAAACGTCATAGAAACCGTTGCCAGTTCTGTAGATTGCAGAAGTGCATTAAAGCAGGCATGCTCAAAGAAGGTCAGTGGAATTCTTTTTTCACTGAACAAGTGAAAATTCATATTTTCATGATATACACATCAAGGAGATCGGGAATTTGAAAAATTTGTCATGATTTTGGGGAAAGACCAGATTTTGCTGAGAATACTTACTCTTCTTAGATTCACAACAACATCAGAAAATTCAGAGGTTTTATTAAATAGGATGTTTTCAATGGGCAATAACCTTATACTTGCTATGCTTTTGATTTGGGATCAGTTGTTTAAAATCATGTCAGTGGCATACACAGTAGAATCAGAAGCTCTGTCTGAAGGGATTTTCCAATGATGTGAATGTTTCAAGTAGTACAAAATCTTGATGTTATACTAACAGTATTTCCCTTGTTAGTGTTTGCATATTAATTTGCATATTAGTGCAACAGGAAGAAGAGGACAGCAAAATGTTTGTGTGTGACAAACATGACAGGGCTGTTATGTGTGTTTTGTTGTGATCTTCCCTTGATATAACTGTGTTCTGGTCCTTCACAAAAAATCTGTTCAAAGGAAGGTGAAGTTTGGCAGAAAATTTTTTTCAAAGATAATAGTATTATTGTTCCGCTTTGTCACACAAGGTTTGCCGTCTTCTTTCCTCTGCCGTCCTATTGCATATTTCATTAATCTTTAACTTCAGTGCATTACTTTAAAATTATTACATAGCGATGTGTTTTATTCAGTTGTAATTGGATTATTTGCCAGCCAATCAGTGTACATCTCCTTTTTACTCAACTGTTAATATAAGAAAACTATTGCATTGAATTTCATAGCTGTACGTGAAGATCGAACCCCCGGCGGCAAACACAAGAACAATTCAAATTCAGCTGGTGCAAGGATCAAATCGGAACCAGCAGCTAAAATGGCTCGGACAAGTTCGACTGGCAGTTCAAGTTCAGATCGTGTAGATGCACCACTGACAATAAAGCCTCCCTCGAGAACTTTTCCTTTGTTTATTAAAGAACTGATGAAACATGAGCCTCGGTCAGAGGGGCATTCTGCAGATTGTCAGGGATGCAAAATCGAGGACACAGGACAAAAAACCTTGGCACACATTACACAGCAAGCTGAAGAGCAAATTAAAAGAAACCTGGAATGGTTCAAATGCCTTCCTTTTCTCCATAGCATTTGTGATAGAGACCAGAAGACCCTTTCAAAAAGCGCTTGGGTGGAACTTATGCTTATCAATTTAACTAAACAATCCCTGCAATTAGAGAATGGAGTCCGTCTGTGTCAGGGACAAGTTTTAGACTATTCAACCGCTGAAGTGACAGGAATTGGGGACATTATGCATCGTGTAATGCAGCTCACAGCAAAGTTTAAGGAATTGAATTTGGATGATGCTGAATTTATTTGCATAAAAGTAATAATTCTTTTAAACCCAGGTATGGAAAATTACCTGTCACAATTTATTATATTATTTTGTAGTTCAATTTTTGATTACTCTAATGCTCAGTTAAACTAATTCTCTGGACTTGACATTGTTTCTTCAAATTTTATAAAATAAAGTTTAAAACGGGTAAAAAAACATACAGCCCCCACCCACAAGTAGTCTGATGGCATAGCAAACGCCTTCAACCATCTATTTTTGGTTTCTGGTTCATTTATTTTTCTGTTATTATTGTTGTTGTAGATGTCAAAGGTCTTATGGATCAGCCACTTGTGGAGCAACTGCAGGATAAAGTACATGCATCATTACTGGAATATAACAACAATTTTCATCCGGGTGAACCAAATCGCTTTGGAAACACCCTTTTAAGATTACCAGAATTGAGATCAATCGGAACGAAGAGTTTGGAACGTCTCTTTATGCTCAGTCTCACTGGACAAATCCATCCAAGCTTGTCACTGTCGGAACTTCTCCACTCTACAAAAAGATGACTTGTGTGTATACCAGGTTATTTATGTGCAGTGTAAGTGAAGTGAATGTAAGCTCTAAAACACCGACGGTATTTCAGCTGTTTCACTGTTACTCTTCTTAGTTAACTCTCCAGTTATGTGTGCAGGCATGTACATGTTACAATATGTATGTGTTTGCAGGTGTAATATTGTGCAAGTCCTGTGCCCTTCCATGTAATAATTTAACAGAGAATCTAGGGACAGTTACTTTTTTAAAATACGTTGTACTCTTAGTCCAAATAGGGACCTTAAGATCTGAGGATGGCGACAGCATCAAAAACGTCATTTTTAAAAGTGAATTTGCATTTTTTCAATATGCATCTTGATTATTCCAACTCACTTTATCAAATGTAGGTGAACTCTCCTGGAGATGAATCCTTAAGAACCATAATTATCCAAGCTCAGAAAAAGAAAGAAAATTTTTCTGTATCAAGTCAGGGCTCGTTTATGTCCTCAATAAAATGTGAAAGAAGACATTTTCATGTTGTAGTCATGTAGTGATGATGAAGAAATGTACAAAAAAGTGTGATGCACGTGCAAGGTTGTTGAACGTAATGGAGTGCTTTTGTGATGATTTCATTGCCATTGCCATCATTGGATCTTACCGTAACATCCCTAAAGTCACTGCTCAACATCTTAGGCCTGGTACATTTTAAAAATGCTGAACTTTCAAACTTAGATAAGAGCTAGATTGCTCCCTGATCAAGAAATGCCAGATTGATAGTATTATCCAAACTTGATTCAGTACTGTAACAGTTCGAGGTAAAATTTCCAAGTATAATATGTGTCAAATTTGGCATCCAAATCAAAATTTCCGCTAAAGCTGAGCGAGTGGGAATAATGGCAGTAACATTCGAACTGAGGTAGCCCTCCTTAACTGATTAGAAACCAAAATTTTTTCATCTATTTTAGAAAATTAGGACCTGTTTCAAATTTTAGGCTTAACAGGTTCAGAGAGGGCTTAACTGGCAAATGTTAGCCTAACAGGCTCTTAAAATCCGGGTTGGGGTTTTACTGATAAGGTAAGACTAACCTACTGGACTACACTGCGCGGAACCTGTGGAACTTAAAGAAATGTCTATCTTTCTTTCATGATATCAACTCAAACTAGTACTTATTTAAATGTACCTGTACATCACTTGAATTGATTACTTTGATGGTGACAACCGTCTGAATTTCCTGTTTCCATTAACCATGTGGTTATTTTCCCATTTCTTCTGGGGTCACGTGCTGCTATTGCTACCTAAATGGCCAATGCTTTAATGTACTGACAAGAGAAATTGCTAATGCTACCAAGTGGTTAATGCTTAGCATCAACTTCCTAGGATTTATGCCTCTGTTAACTTCTAAACCTAAGCAAAAAAAAAATTGGAATCTCTCATAGGCGAGAAAAAATAGGCAATTGCTAATTGTGACTTGTCACACAATCCACCTTCCAAGGAATTAGTTACTTTCATGCTAAGCACAAGTAAAAAGGGTCTCGGAGCTCTTGCGCATGCATTATCCTAAATGTATATAAAGAGGGTGGGAACAGGGAAATCATAACTGGAAATGACACGTGAAAAAAAATTTAGCAGATAGCAATGTTGTGATATACATGAAGTCAAGTTTCAACCAAAAAGAGAATTATATTTAGTAACTAATACCAAAGTAGTTTTTGTCGTTACATAAAATTTTTTGTTACATATTTTTATCATGTAAACCTTATAACTGTACCTCCAAATGCATTTGCATAAAAACGGTAGTCTCTTTAAGTTCCACTGGATTTTCAAGTTCCGTGGTTCTACGGTCTGCAGGTCCATAGATTAGTCCTATATGCAAATATGAAGTATGTTGTACATGTAACCATCTTTACCCCTTTAAGTCCCATTAGTGACCAACAGCAATTTTCTCCTAACAACATCCATACATTGTCATGAGATGAGGTTATGAGAATTAAGAAAATGATCTCCTAAGAGAAAATACTTTGATCTTTTATCAAATTCTCTCAACTCATTCTTTAAGGAAATATATAGAGATCAGTTTGGAGAATTTGTATGTGGATATTGGGGCTTAAAGGGTTAAGGGGAAAGAGAAATGTTCAGCAACAGTACATACAAGCATGCACTGAAAGGCAACTGTATGTCAGTCTGAGTTAATAGTATTTGCATTGTAGATGACAACTGTTTTAAAATCCTAGTACTGAATCAATTTGAAGAACTTTATTTGTTAGGTACTTTATAATGACAAGAGCACTGGCATTTTCAGATGAGATGGTATGAATCTTATTTTATCTTTGACTCTAATTATTAAGGCTTACAGGGTTTTAAATTTTAGGCACTTCTTAGTATATAAATCTTTAATGAGGATTTTTCCGAAACAAAGCAAATCTCAGATAGTATCTTATTACCGGTTCAACACTAGTGGCAGTTATTTGGGTTTCTCCAGCCCTGGCTAATACGTTTATTAACAAATTTTGTGAAGACATCAGAGAGATTCAGGGTTAGATATTGCATGTCCTATATTTTATGCTAAATTTTGAAATAATTGTGACTTCCTCCTGCTTAGAGTTAAGCAGAGTAAGAACCCTTGAAAGCGATACTTTGTAGTCAAAATATATGTAATAATTGGCCAGACATACTTTTTGTTAACCTAAATTATCTTGGAAAAAGTTAGTCCCCCAAGATCAATTTGTTTGTTTTAGATATCTGTTTCTTGTTAGATGGATATCTGGGAAAATCCTGTACAAATTGTTACATAGGCCAAAGGTTTGAAATAGTTAAACATTGAACTGGTGCTGGTAAAAAAAAGCCTCGATGAGTGACTGCTGAAAACTGCTTGATTCTCCTCCAAATTGCCCGTATTTGCTTGCAAAACACTGGGAGAATTTGATGATTTGTCATTCCAGAAAATATCCACACTTGTCCTTCTCATGGAAGTTTAATTTTGCTTTGAGCAAAAGACTGTCTGTGACCCCCTTGCCCTTCCCTCCCCCACGAGGTGTGGTTTCCTGAACCACACAATAAAGCAATAGTCACTTATGGCCATTTTACCATGCACCCCTTGAATTGTTCTTTTTGTGTTAATTTAGTTCAAATAACTCCATTACCAGGCGATGATACCAATACAGGACAGAACATTGCCGTTTCATAGTGGCGTTGTGTCTCTTTGTGTATGGCAGCCCCCCCCCCCCCCCCTTAAAAATGGGGAAGTGGGGCTGCTATACACCATTGAACATTAATATTTCAATTTAAATTCTTTCTCTTTGGAAGGAAAAGGAACTTTTACTATTTCAGCATCTGCGTTTAGATGGATCTAATATTATTTCACATTGTTAAGATGAGCTCACTGTTAGTGCGCAAAACATTGAAAATATTATAATTTACTGCCAACAAGCTAAATAAAAGTGAGCTATATATATTTTTTAAGTGTTTTACACTATAAAATATGTGGATAAAGAGTAACTTTAACTCTGCAAATCTTGAATAAATAAACATGTCAATTGAGAGGTAACATTTTTTCTCGTTAAAAACATGAGAGGTCATGTTACAGGTTTCACATCACAGCAACAACAATTTTATTTTACAAAGTACATGTAACATACTATGCACACATATAGGCTTGATTTCCAGCCGTTTGACACAATCAGGTTTGGACGGTACCCTCCTTCACATACCATGCACACAGATGATTGGTTTCTTGCCATTTGAAACAATCAGGTTTGTACCGTACCCTCCTTCACATGGTGTGAATTGATTTCCAGCCATTTGACACAATCGGGTTTGGACCATACCCTTGTCCACAAGCCATGCACACATAGGAATGATTTCAAGGCATTTGACGCAATCAGGCTTGGACCGTACCCTCCTCCTACATGCAATGCACACACATAGCATTGATTTCCAGCAATTTGACACAATCGGGTTTGGACTGTACCCTCCTTCACATACCATGCAGACAGATGATTGATTTCCAGCCATTTGAAACAGTCAGGTTTGTACCGTACCCTCCTTCACATGCCATGCACACTCATAGAATTGATTTCCAGCCATTTGACACAATCAGGTTTGGACCGTACCCTCCCCCTACATGCCATGCACACACATTGGATTGATTTTCAGAAATTTGACACAATCAGGTCTAGATCTGGACCACACCCTCCTCCAAATGTCGTGCACACTCCTACGATTGATTTCCAGCCATTTGACGAAATCAGGATTGGACTATACCCTTCTCATAGGCTTGTTTGTCAGCCATTTGACACAATCAGATTTGGATCATACCCTCCCCCACATACCGTGTACACACACAAGATTGATTTCCAGCCATTTGACACAAGCAGACAGGTTTGGAACATTATCCTCCCCCCACATGCCGAGCACACATATGGGATTGATTTCCAGCCATTTGACAAAATCAGGTTTGCATCGTACCCTCCACCACATGCCATGCACGCACATAATATTGATCTCCAGCCATTTGACAAAATCAGGTTTGGACTCTACCCTCCCCCATGTGCCATGCACACACATGTGCTTGATTTCCAGGCATTTGATACAATCAGGTTTGGACCGTACCCTCCCCACATGCCATGCACACACAGGACTCATCTCCAGCCATTTGACAAAATCAGGTTTGGACTCTACCCTCCCCCATGTGCCATGCACACACATGTGCTTGATTTCCAGGCATTTGATACAATCAGGTTTGGACCGTACCCTCCCCACATGCCATGCACACACAGGACTCATCTCCAGCCATTTGACAAAATCAGGTTTGGACTCTACCCTCCCCCATGTGCCATGCACACACATGTGCTTGATTTCCAGGCATTTGATACAATCAGGTTTGGACCGTACCCTCCCCACATGCCATGCACACACAGGACTCATCTCCAGCCATTTGACAAAATCAGGTTTGGACTCTACCCTCCCCCATGTGCCATGCACACACATGTGCTTGATTTCCAGGCATTTGATACAATCAGGTTTGGACCGTACCCTCCCCACATGCCATGCACACACAGGACTCATCTCCAGCCATTTGACAAAATCAGGTTTGGACTCTACCCTCCCCCATGTGCCATGCACACACATGTGCTTGATTTCCAGGCATTTGATACAATCAGGTTTGGACCGTACCCTCCCCACATGCCATGCACACACAGGACTCATCTCCAGCCATTTGACAAAATCAGGTTTGGACTCTACCCTCCCCCATGTGCCATGCACACACATGTGCTTGATTTCCAGGCATTTGATACAATCAGGTTTGGACCGTACCCTCCCCA